GGGGTGGGGGAGGCGGCCGCAGCCGCCAGTTACCAGAAAGACCTTGTCTCCCTTCGATCCGGAGAGCGCGACACCCCTCCCGCCCTTTCAGCTACCTCTCCGCGCATTCATACGACCGCTGCTGAATCAGCTGGAACGCGCGAGCTCTCTCCACCTTCCGCCAGCCGCCGCCACCGAGGTCTCCTCCTTTTCCCTGCGATTTCCCGCCCCCTCCCGATTTCCTTGATTTCCGATCCCCCCGCCCCCCAAAAAGCCCCTAAGATCCCGGGCGTTCTTCGCGAAACGGTCCCGAGAAGCCGCAGCGCTCAGACGGTAAGGATCCGGGTCGGTGTCTTGGAAAGCCCAGCCTTTCCCCCTTCAAAGCGAAGATCCGCAGTCAGCAGCCAGCCGGAGCCCGTTTCCCCGAGGAGAAGGGAGCGCGAGCGGAGAAAGACGCCTCCTTTCCAGCGGCTCCTGCTTTGGGGCGACGATCCCCTGGTCCCCGCCGAGCAGCCCCGGCGGCGGCGGCCGCGGCCACATTCCTCGGCTGCCTCGCGCTCTTCCTTCCTCGCCCCCCTTCCCGAAGCGGCGGAGCACTTGTTATTCAGCAGCCCTGCCGCCAGTCCTCGGACAGCCCTTGGAAAAACGGCGAGACCAATCCGAAGGCGGCCGCCTGGAGGGGAAGCCGAGGCGCGAGCCCCGGGGCTGCTGGACTGCCGGCCGCCACCGGCATCCTTTCTGAAGCCGAGCCGAGAGCCAAAGCGGGGTCGGCTTTGGCCTCCTGACAAACGAAGCACAGGCGCCGGCGTGCCAAACGTTGCACGGAGCGGGGGGCGGAGGGGGGGAGGTTGAAAAAAAAACCCAGCAAAAAAAGAAATTACACAGGCGCGCTGAAACCTAGAAAGGGGAGGGAGGTAGACACGCGCCCGCGCCTTCACACGCGCGCACACATGCGGGAGTAACAATCGTTCCAGGCTGGGCTGCACAGATTTTCCCAAGCCCGTTTGCCGCTTGTCCTTCTCTTTGGCCCAGGCGATTGTGTATTCCTACGGCGTGAAAGAAGGAGAGGAAAGCGAGTTTGCTGCTTGGGCAAGGAAGCGCCCCCCTCCCACTTTGCTCGACTCGAAGGAGGGCTGCCTGACTGCGCCTCCGAGCAAGGGGTCCAAGCGGTTCCTCGGAGGAGATGCGGAGCGGGCTCGGGTCGGCTGTTCCGGGGCGGTCCCGCTGCACAGCCCGGGAGCCGGTCTGAGGAGTCTCCGGCACTCCGGCGGTGGCAGGGCACAAGGAGCGCCCGCGCGCCCGCCTGGGGCTGCGCGGGTGTCCGCGTGCGGGGGCGCGCTTGGGCAGGCGCGCCCGCGCGCACAGGGAGGGATGCATGGAAAGGGGGGACCTGGCAGCCGGTCCTTCGGCGCGGAATTCCTGCCCAGCCTGTTCCTGGAGGCTGGTGCTTCTCTAGAGCCGAGCAGCGAATCGCTGCCGTTCGTGACAAGCGTTGGTGCTGAGGAAGGAGCTGCAAAGAGAGAGAGGGAGCAGGCTGAACTGCCTCTCCTACCGCGGGGTCCCGGGGAGGGGGCTCCGGCGAGCCATTCAGAACCTTTCTCCACCACCGAGTTCAATTCCATCTCTTGGAAAGCGCTGCCAGCCCCCCCAGAATTGCCTCTCCTTCTCTTGCTCCTGTTCACAATCTCATCTCTGCAAAGCAGCTGGGGCAAAGCCTGGCAAATTATGCTGGCTACTCTTGGATGGGGTCAGAATAAGAAGGGAAAAGCAATTTGAATAGTTCCGTGCAGCTAAGGGTGACTTAAACCTGCATCCCTCTTGGGCTGGAGACAGGATGGAGGCCAACATCAGGGGTATGGCAGAAAGATGTGGCCCCATCTGTGCCTAGGTTAGGTGCAAGTAGAGATATGGTCGATTTGTCACACTTCCAACTGCAATCTAAATCTAATAGTACTATCTTAGTATTAGTACTATCTAATAGTGTTGGTGATGGGGCCACCAAGGCTAGCTGTCCATTGACCTTTCTTGAAAGTTCTTTCAATGCATAAGTGATGGATTCATTGATTAAGTAATTAATCCCCTTTATGCTCAGTCTGAATCTCTGGCAGGGGGGTGGGGAGCGGTGCTATTCTACAAAATACAAAATAAGAAAAGTAAAAGATGATTAACTGATGGTTGACTGTTCTCCTTAGTCCTAACACGGGATGAACCAGCATTCAATAATGTATGTTAGGAAAAATAAAGATTGAAGTAAAGCCAGTCTAAACAATTACAGTGAGAATCAAAGGTGATCAGCAATGCATAGTTATTCATGTTTAATATGATTTCCAACTTGTCTTGGGAACTTAGTATGGTTGACAGTTGGAAGGAGAAAGGCGCAAAGCTCAGCTTTAGGAAAAGAGAGGTGGGGAAACAGAATTCTTGGCTTGCTAAAACTTTGGAGAAGAATCCACTGATATGACAACAGCAACCTTGATATGGTGGGGTAGGAAAAATTGCATAAGAAACCCATTTCACATGGAGATCATAAAAAATATCTAGCCATCATTGCACTCAAGAGGTAAACCCCGCAGCACAGGATCACTCCATTACCCTGTCTGTCTGTTCCTAAGCCATAGCATAGCAAAGGCCATGAAGGCAAAATTCATCCCAGTACACATTTACACAGAAAAGAGGCAAATTTGCCCCAGGGTGGTTTTTTTTAATGGAGATGAGATGAGGGTTCTTCTCAAAAAGCCAAACTCAAAGCAGCATTTGCAAACCCCATCTTAGACACCTCATTCATCACCTTATCTACCTACTATTATGTATATGGTGGGTGTCATAGTGGTGAAGGAGTTGGACTCGGGCCAAGAGAGGTGGACTTGGGCCAAGGGAGACCCAAAGTTCAAGCCCTCACTCAACCAGGTATCTCATTGGGTGACTTTGAGCTAGTTACTCTCACTCAGCCTAACTTACCATGTAGAGCTGCTCCTGGAATAAAACAAAGGGGCACCCTAATTTTTACTACTTTGAGTTCCGAAGAGAAGATATCAATGCAATCCATCAATAGCACAGAATAGCAGAATGATTCAGATCTCATCTGGGAAATGTAAATGCATTTATGTGGCTCTTCTCTGGTTCGAATCCAGTGGTGGATTGCTTCAAGTAAAACCTTTGCTCCTTCCATAAGTCAGTTCAACCGTTCTGCTCCTGATAGAAATCTTTGGAGGATTCTGCCCATGCTTAGCTTTGTTCATTAGGAAAACCGTCCACTTCATTTGATTTGCTTCACATGTTAAATGTTCACAGAAGACCTTTCAACTTATTTTGTGGCAATGGACCTGAGTCATTAGTCTCCATGATTCTGCATGTATGGTATCTCTGAGGAATTGGAAGAGAAATGCTATGAGCACTTGTGAGCAAAAAGACAGTCTAAAGGCTAATATGTTCTCCATTACTATTAATTACTATTATTATGAAGCTCTGGTATACAAAGGAATCAAAGGACAATACACTGGAGACAAGTAGATTAAGAAATTCAGAGTTGATCTATATAATCAAGTTTCTCAGTATAAGTATGTGCCACTAACTATTTCTTAAGGGCAGGAACTCACAAGGTCATCCTATTTCTACCCCCAGCTTCACCTGTCTTTATCTATCTATCTATCTATCTATCTATCTATCTATCTATCTGTCCATCTGTCTATTGATTTAGATTTAGATAGATAATTTTATCCCACCTTTGTTATTTTTTTCTTTCTAAAAAAAATAC